CCCCAAAACCCCAAAACCCCAAAACCCCATTTAAACCGTATTTTATTGAATAATTTAATTACTTTGTTACATATAATCCATTTAGGAAGACCCCTTGTTTGAATCTACATGCACGCCAGTCGAACTTTCATCATGAGGCACAATAGGAGTTTCTGGCAACTTCTTTTTGACCAAGAACGAACCAATATTTGATTGCTTCTTGATAGCCTTCTGTGCTTCTTCTTGCTGTTCTTTCTCTTTGATTTCATCCTGCTTCTTTTTAAATCTTATAAAAGCTTCATCTGAGTTATTTTTAGGCTCTTTTTCGTTATCAGAGCTTGAAGAGTCAGATGAACTGGACTCTAAAATATTATCTTCTTTGATTTTCTGATTTAGCTCTTTAACCTTTTCCAAAGTACTTGCTGATGGGGGATTATGCTTAGCTCTGATGAAAAGTCTTCCATTATTTTTGTTTGTCAAGCCCTTCTTTTCTCTCTTCATAGACCTCTTTCTACTCTTACTGATCAAATGCTGGACCTCACTTTCTTTGTTATTAAGTATTTTATCTAAGAAATTGTCCATCTTCCTGATCATCCTTTCAGGGATGATGTTCAGGTCAAGATTTAACCGCCGAGTCTCCTTGTCGTATCAACTAATATTGTTGTAGTCAAGGAAACTGATAAATCTACAAGTTTCCTCTTTCTTTAATTTAAGTAACTTCTGCTTTAGATTAAATCGAAAACTGTCATTTATGGGCGGCCTCACTAGCTTCTCTTGCTCGCTTTCAGACGAGATTTCAGCTTCATCATCAATTATCTTGGTACTTTTATCAGAAATATTGATGATATTCTTAAGTTTCTTGACTTGAGCCTCAAGTTCAGCTATTTTCTTCTCAGCTTCGTCTTGGACTACTTTTGGAACAACATTTTCATCACTTTTAGCCCCATCAGGACCTTCTTCTGAGTCAGTTTTGATGCCCAAATCCTGCCTCTTCTTCCTTGCTATGCTAAACTTGAAGCTTTGGTCTGGAATATTGTTCACTAAAACATCAATATACTTAATGAAGGAGCGAAGCTTGTCATGCTCTACTTCTGGAAGTATTCTAATTCATTCTTCAGTGATGCTCTTTCTGAAACCATTTAGGAAATTTCCTGAAGACTCGTACTGAAAATTCCTAACTTTTGAAAGCTCTTCCTCACACAAAGAGTTGATCTCAGGAAGATCTTTAATTTTGGAAATCTTGCTCATAACGATCTTTATTAAAGATATTAATCTGTTCTGAAGATTTTTCTCATCTTGATATTGCTGTTCGCGAAGGTTCTTTCTAGTCTTTTTCTTCACTTTAACAGGAAACTCTTTAGCTGGTTCTTTAATTTCTTCCTTGATCTCTTCTTTCTCTTCCTCCTCTTCCTCTTCTCTTTCTTGAGTTTTGTACCTCTTCCTCTTAGGTTTCGGAGGAGCCTCCTGCTTTTTGATTCGCTTGTTTTTATACCTTAGGGATCTTCTGTTAGATCTTTCATCGACAAGGTCTTCGAGCTCTTGCATTTCATCACTGTCATGATCGTCTCGAGGTTTGTAGTCGTCTTTTATTAGCTTTGAGTCATTATCAATATCATATTCAAAAGCTTCATCTCTCTTTTTCTTCTGTTCTCTGATAGATCTTCGGACTTTAGGCCCTTCTGAGCCATGTTTCCCTTCCTTCACCTTACTGACTTCTTTAAGTATGGCTTGTTGGAACTCGAAACTTTGGATTGGATTGCAGTTAGCTCCTTTAGCTTGGCCTTTATAAAGCCCCTTCGCTACTTTTAGGCGTAATTCTCGCTCTTTGACCCAGTCCTTGATTTCTTCCTCGTCTTCAAAAATATAGCCATGCTTTTGAATTATAAAGTTGATGCTCCTGATGTCTTGTTCTGTGGCTTTAAATTGGGAGAGGTTTCAAGTATCAACATATCCTCTGTAATCAAACTCTTTAATCTCGAGATCAGCGCTACCCTTTAAGCGAATCTTGGCATAAACTTTTTCAGAACCTGTCTTCTTTACTTGGGCAGCTTTCTTCTCCGAGTTAATGGTCACTTGAGAGTTAAGTTTTGAGCTATTCTTAGAAGACCTGGTTGTTCTCTGAGAGACCCTTGAATTTTGTGTAAGTCCAGTCCCTTGAGTCAGTTTTGCCTGGCTACTAACCTCCTCCTCCTCATCCTGTTCACTACCGGTTGGGTCGAACAAGTCTTCGTCATCATCTTCAACCTCGTCTGCTACCTCATCTACAACCTCGTCCTTATCTTCAGCCTCTTCCTGAGTCAATATAGACTTCTGTGAATTTCTTGTTGTGACTGGCATCTAAATGGTGCTTACTTTCTGAGTTTATTTAGTGATTAAATGATATTATATCTTAATTTTCAATCCTTTAGATACAAATCGGGGTTTTGGGGTTTTGGGGTTTTGGGGTTTTGGGG